ATTTAATTCAATACATTTAAATACTATGCATATAATTATTTAGTTGATTTTTTCAAATAATTTATGAACATAAATAAATAAATGTGTTTTTAATATTAAAAAAATCATTTGTTTGGTAGATATACAATGTATAACAAAATATTTAATTGTGAGTTTGGTTTTGATAAGAATAAAACAATTTAAAAAAAAAAATATTAAAAATTCACAAACAATAATAATTTTACAACCAGCTTGTTAACTGTAAATAGATAATTCAAACAACAATGGAGAAACACAAATTTGAAAATGTTGAACACAATTAATAAACAGTATTGAAAAATAAATTTTTCATTTAATTTACTTTTTATCTGTTAATAATTTATTTATTTTAGTAAACTTTAATTTATTTATTTATATTAATTTATAATTTATCTATTTTGGCAAATGAATATGTTAAATTTAGAATTTATTTATAAATATTAATTTATATAATGTTTGTATTTATTGATTTTTGTATAATAATTTCAGAATTAATTATTCTATAATTGCAAAATGTAAGCAACAAAAATTGTATAAAATATTAATTGTGTAAATGTAATTTTAAAACAAATTTATTTCAATATATTATAACAAAATTTATAAAATTATTCAATTGATTTCTTCAAATAATTTGTGAACATAAATAAATAAATAAATGTGTTTTTTAGTATAATAATGATCATTTGTTTGGTAAGTACACAATGTATATCAGAATCTCTGAATAAAAAAATTGTGAGTTTAGTTTTAATAAGAATAATATAATTTGAAAAAAAAAAATCATAAACAATATATCAGCTTATTAACTGTAAGTAGATAGTAAAAATAAAATGAAAAAAACACAAATTTGCTGATTGTTGAACACAAATAAATTGTATTGATTTAATAGATTTTTGATTTTAATTAGTTTCTAATTCTATTGAGGATGATAATGAGTTATGTAAACAATTTCAGAAAAATGAACTAATACAAATATTTCCGAAATAATAAATATAATTATTGTTAGTTTAATAAGATTTATAGTATACAAATTATAATTTTCTTGAAAATATTCTTTCTTGAATGATACCTTGTCATCCTAATATTGAAATAAATATTAGAGCATACATACATTACATTGTAGGTATGTTGATAATAATTTTCATTTGATGCTAGAATCCTTGGATTTATTTTTCTTGTACATCTTATTAATTTTAGATGTACTGGGTGATCGGCTGAAGGGATCCTGATGCATATGTTCCTCTGGTTCCTTGACTGGTGTGCTTGTTATTGGTTCTGTTGTTGTGAGGATTTTTTCTTGCTCTTTTTGAATTACATCCAGTAATTTATTATACAGCCCCTTTATCACTAGTTTATAAAAAAGAACAAATTAATTTCTAGAAAATTAGAAACTATGAGTTTTAATTAAATGAGTTTAGATGTTATCTATATATATATAAATACAGTGTTGTAAAGTATTCAAATAAAAGTATTTTATTACTTTTTTTTGTATTTTTTATTAACTAAAAAAATACTTTTCTTAAAACCAATAATATTTTTCAATTTGTGATAGTTTATGTAAACTATCCGGTCCGTTTTTTTTTTATATGTTTTTCTCATCATTAAGAAAACTATTTAGATATTTTAAAATATACCTTATTATTTGGATCAAGGTTATAAATACAATATTTTTGTCTTAACAAGATATGAGGGAAACAACAAGACTGAAAACAATTTTAAACAATAAAATTGTTAACTTATAATTGCTAACTGTATCTAATAGTAATTGTTTTATTTGCATAAAAAAAAGCTGATACTGCTGATGGATGTGAACCTATAGTTTACTTATGAGATTAAAAGAAAACATTTTTATTTGAATATGGTTATCATTTTTTTCAGTGTTATCTCACTATTCACATGGGAGAAAATCAAAGTCAATAAATTTGAAATTTGTTTTACAACTCAAGCTATAAAGTATACATATTATTATAGGTAATATTATGATATGTGAGATGTGATATGATTTTTGTTTATAGATAAGTTATTTTGATTCAAGTGAAAGTAAGAATAAATCTTGAACAACAATATTTGTTCGAGATTTATATGGAATACTAAATATTAGTACTTAATTATATCGTATTTGTTGAAAAAGTAGGCCCTAGTTTTAAATTTCTACCAACCGTATTAAAAATAAAAAAAAATATCCAAAATTCGACCCAAGGTACCTGTAAAAAAATCCTAAAATATTAAAATTAAAATGCTATAACAAACGTGAATTACCATCCATTATCATATCATATTGCACATGTTAAAAATATTATTATAATTTTTTTTTTTATTATGAACTAATAAACAGATGACTTCGTTTTTTTCGTACGTACTTTTCAATGACTCGAAAGCGCGCGGCTTGGCATGTATGCACGGCATGGTAATCACGAGTATTATGACTGATAATACTTGAATATTGCGTGAATTCATCGTGAACGTTGTTATACCTAATTAAATAATTATTTTTTATTATTATTATTATTATTACTTTTATTAAATAAAATAACAGTTTAAGTGATAAAACAATACTGAACCTCCGAACAGTTTCTTGGCCAATTTTATAGACAGATACTCATTAAGATGGCGTCACAGTGGAAATGAAACGTGTGCGACGTTCGAGAAACGGCGTTGTGCGTCTTACCCCCGCTCCGTCATTGTGGCAAGTCGTAACCACGCTCTTTGCCACGATGTAACAACTACAGTACGTTTCACGAAACAAACTGCTCCGCAGTGTTGCTTTCGGTGCAGATTTTCGTGAGGGTTTCTTAAACGTGTGACTAAAAAAACGCGGTAATTTAAAAATGACGCGGCAATCAACCATCGAACAGCTGGCCCTGTTGATATGAATTTTAGCTTCCGCTGCTAAACATTTTGTAACCTCCATATATATTATACAATAAATAAAATAATTATTTTTATTCATATTTTTAAAAACCGTGCTGTATTCTCAATTGCCACGTATTGTGTACAAGTTTAATAAACTGCTTAACACCGAAACTTCACCACCGGAAGCGCCACTGCGGAGTCGCTAGTTTCGTGAAACGTACTGTAGTTTGCAGAGTTTTGCTTAAGCGTGAGATCTCGTTTTATTATTCTATGAGTGGTGATTAGAAATGACAACGATATATTGAGACATTTTATATAGATACAACCGTACCGATATATCGACTCGATATTTTAGTTATTTAAATATCGAATATAAAAATTTAATACAATAAGTAATTATCGGGAAACCAATAGATATTATTAATTATTATGTACATTTATAAATTATTCGGAATGTTATATATTAATAGCTATGTTTACTGTTTACACATTGCATGGTGTAATTTGCACCAAACTCCTAGTTGACTACATCGAAAATCTATATAGGTACCTGTAATGTACCTATATTATGTATGGCCGTACGACGTACGGATACCTATCCACAATTTGCTTGTCATTAATTCTATAATTAAGTATAGATTACAAATTACGACNCCCCCCCTCTTTGAATATAGAATTGAATAGAGAACATTTTTCTAGAAATGTTGATATAAATAACACTAATATCAGATTTATTGTTTATTTACAGTTTAAAGTTTAGACCGGAGGAGTAGGGAAGGATAGAAAAATTGCCTATCGTTATAGATAGATTTATCGATAAAACCTTACCGATATATCGACTCGATATTATCGAGTCCTTCGATATTTTAATACAATAATTATTTATCATCGGAAAACCGATAGCTAAATATTATAAAATATTGTGTATATTTATAAATTATTTGAGATGTTATTTATTAATAGCTAGGTTTACTATTTACACATTGCACGGTGCAATTTCCACCACACTCCTCGTTGACTACTCGTTTTTTTAAAATATTATATAAATTATAAATTATATTACCTATTAGCCTTTAAAATATTTCTATTTTTTGAAAAAATTTCCCAGCACCTTTTCTGAAAGGAAATCGGTTTTGGTACTTTAGGGAGGTTATTTTTGATTTTCTCAAGAATATTTTCAGAAAATTTGAAAAACCAAAAAAAGCCAGAAAAAAGTACAAAAATATATGAAATATATTACTAATATATTACGATATTTTTTCCTGTCCTCATATTTTCAAATAGCAATTTTGCTCCGACTTTTAATGACAGCTATGTTTCTAAAGGAAATTTCATTACCGAAATACCTTAAGCAGGTTATTTTTCGATTTTCTCAGGAGTTTTCTTATCGAATTTAAAAAACCGAAAAAAAACCGGGAAAATATAAGTAATGTAGGTGTTAGTTAATATATATTACAGCCTTCTTTTCTTGGTACACAACTTTTCTACCAAAGAATTTGTTCCAACTTATATTGGTGGCAACGTTTCCAAAAGAAAAACGTAGGAAAATTGGGAAATCAGTACAACGTTAAATAAATATTACTAAACAAAATATATAAAGCCTATTTAACTGTTTTACTTGAAAATAAATATATTTATTATTAACAAAGCATCAACTGAACTCCACTGTGGGGGGCTTAACATTTTTGTCTTATTCATTAGTGGATACAAATATTTTTAGTCTTTTACCTACTAACTGTAGTGGCTACTCCTACTTGATTCTAGTTAAGGCACCAAATATATATATATATAGGTAATAGGAACATAAACAAATAATATATTGAATAGCTACTAAATTTTTTTATTTTTATTGTATATATCTATTTTTTTGTGCAAATATATTAACAATTTTTTCAGTATTAATAGATTCAGAAATTTCTTTTTTAATATATAATATTGAGGTGTTGTTGAACCTTTCCTGCAGCATAGAAGTTTGAAGCCACGTTTTTATTCTACGCATGGCCGAAAAACTCCTTTCACAAGTGGAGGAACTTATAGGAATTGTTAAAGCAACTTGAAATAGTTTATTTATATAAATTAGGGAAATTCTGTTTTGTTAAAACCTTTTTCACATCATTTAAGGTTATATAATTTTAATCAGTAGACTGCAATATACAATTCTTTGCCACTTCTATTTCTGACTGTAGTACATCTTTAGATACATTCATCAAATCCTGAAAAATATACAAAATACATGTTCACTTTTAATAAAACTAGAAAACTAGAGCATAGGTAAGTAAAAATTAATTTTCAGAAACTGATAAGATACTTTTTTTATAATGATCTACAAAGAAAAGACTTTCCTCAAAGTTTAATTGAAAAAATTGATCAACAGCTGTAGCCATTTGGAGGCTTTCAGTAGAAAATCTTTTTTCCAGATTTATCAAGATAGCATCAAATACAGGAAAGAAAGCATTTTTTCTAAAATAATTATCAATAGTTTCAATAGTGTCATTAATGTTTTGTTCAGCACTTGTGGTTGCAGTAGGAACAAAATATTCAAGATTGTGTGGATCTTTTTCTTTTGCATCCTAGTTAAGTAAATATTAACTTAAAATTATTNTCTTATTCATTAACAAATATTTTTAGTCGTTTCCGATGGTTCCAACTACTAACTGTAGTGGCTACTCCTATTTGATTCTAGCTGAGGCACCAAATATATATATATACATATATATAGGTAATAGGAATATAAAAAAATAAAATATTGAATAGCTACTAAATTATTTTTATTTTAATTGTATATATCTATTTTTTTGTGCAAATATATTAACAATTGTTTCAGTATTAATAGATTTAGAAATTTCTTTTTCAATATATAATATTTAGGTGTTGTTGAACCTTTCCTGCAGCATAGAAGTTCGAAGCCAAGTTTTTATTCTACGCATTTTTTTCTTGAAATTTGTTAGAAACAATATTAATATTAATTCATACTTTATGTAAGATAAATAAATAAATAGGTGGATATAATAATGTGGCGATCTGCAGCTTGCGTATTTATAACTTTACAGGTATTGCAAACAAGTTCTAGAATATTCGTGATTATCAATATATACCTACAAAATATGATTTTCCCAACAACGATAAACCGTAAATATTCCAGACCATTCTCGTATCTCAACAAAATAAAATAAAAATTATAAATATCAAATATTGAAACACATAATTTTTTATTTTGACGTTTACATTCTGGGGGGCTTAAGTTCTCCAAGTCTCCCCCCAATATCCGCCTATGGACTCTACTCCGAGTAATAATTCTGTAATGGGTTTTCGTAATTACTAACATTTATAATAATTATCAATCATTGATTATACTTATGGGTAGAAGCGGGAACGCGTATAAAGAACGGAAATATTTTGTTATAATAATATTTTATCAGAAAAATAAAACGGTCGAAAAATAAATAATCCAAAATTGGCTCACTTCTAATAATAATGTCAGTTACATTAGCAACCCCAATTTGGAATTCCTTTAAAAATACTACACCAACAATTATTATTATATTTGTACATATTTGTAATCGTAAATTCCGAATTTCTACATTACTTAGACCCGTGAAAATCGATGTTCACTGCGGTGTAAACCAATACATTAAAAATGATTTACAAAATAAATCAAATAGTATAATATAAAATATTTCTATTGTAATAAAATATTGTTCCCATTTATTTATTTATTTATTTATTTATTTATTTTATTTATTATTATTTATTTCTTATTATAACCATAGACGAAACTAGATTAAGTTTTAGGGTGTAATCCAAACAATAAATTATAAATAAGAGTTTATTTTAAAGAACTATTTGGTTTTTAAGATAAGTAAATTCAGTAATTCTAATAATTGAATTTTATTTTTAAATTTGGCTAGTCTACTAGGATATAGGTGAGGGCATGAAGGAAGGAGAGTTCTCTGAGGCCCAAGAAGACATGGAAGCTCTAGAGATAGATTACGAAGAAATAGACATGGATTCTGTAATTTTTGTTGACGAAAAGGTCAAGGTGATGAAGAAGTATAATGACAAAAATATGCTTTTTCATATTCCCTTAGACTCATAGTTATATTGTAATGAACGTACATTCCTGGATGGGGAGTACACCAAGTCGAGGGCGGTGGGCGAACACGCTGGCCCGCGAAGAGGCATCAAGACAACAAAATATTTATTAATAACTTTCAATATTTATTTATTTTTTGTATACTGTTTGATAATTACTAAACCACGTTGATTTTAATAAGAAAATGTTCACAAAATTACACTGAGGCCTTTCAAAATCACTAAAAATTCTATTACGCAATGAACATTAATTTCCCGCACTAATTAGGTAAATAAATCCCCAGATCTTGTGGAATTTCAACATATTTGGCAACACTGACGAGGTTAAACAATTTTATTTTTGAAATCTGTAATCGTTTAATAATAATTAATAACAATGAATAGAATCAGTGAACTGCATTTACCAAATCAAAGCCACCTAGTAAAAATTAAATTTACCAAACAAACCATATGCTTACTTAATAATATCAGCTGTTTTGTAAACGATAACGCCCGTCGAACATCACATTTTGTTCGGGTACAGGAATATCGATCTCATACCGTTGTCATAGTTACGTATCCATTTTTCACTCTGTCGACCTCTGGTACATACGTTTCTTATGGCGCTCTGTTCACGAAATTGAACTATTGTTTCAATCGTTCTATGACCTTCGTCGGATATTCGTGTGAGTACACAACCGTATTACTACCTATAATAATTTTATATTGTCATCCTTTTCAAATAATTATTTTAACTTGACCTGCATGAAATTTGTTGACCCTATAGACCTTATAGACTTGCACAAGTCAAGGGGTAATTTTAATTAATTAAAAATCGAGATTTATATATTATAGAATTTTATATTAATGATTACATCATTGTTTGTATGGGAATATCTTATATTTTAAAACTGAAAATTTGATCAATGAAGCCTGTAAAAAATGAATACTGTATTGTAGTGTTGTACTGTTCTGTACACAAAACCACTCGAATTCACATAAGACTTACTGTAAGTAAAGAAATACTATTTCCAGTTAGTGTTAAATCATTCAAAACATATGGGGATGTTACCATTTGTATCAATTTAAATAATATCTTCGGGCTCTAAATCAATATTATTTATATACTACAAAATAAGACGATTACTTAGTATTTTTAGAAGAGTTAAAATATTTGTTTCCTTAGGAAAATTATCATACAAAAAAGTATTATAGAACCTATAGGATACATAATACAGTAATCTCTCTATTATCCGTGGTTTTCTACGGAACCTAGTTATTTTAGGAAATACAAATTATGTGTGGTTATTAATATATTATACAACGATTAAAAGAAAATTGAGTCATTATTCAATGGTGAGAAAGTAAAAACGAAGTTATTGACCGAGCTATGGTCATTCCACAAGAGTTAGCTTTAGTAAACCAACAAAACCGTTTTACAATAAGTATGCTATTGACGAACATGTCAAAAAAAATTAACGCATAATACTCAGATTATCCTTCACCTTATCATTACGAATTAAGCCCAATCGAGCTTGCATGGTTTAAATTAAAAAGCACATAAAACAAAACAATGACACGTACAAGTAATCAGACTTCAGAGTATTGTTAAATGAAGGTAATGACCGTGTTGATTCCGAAATGTGGAAAAATTGTAAACCACAATAAAACAGAAGAAGAGAAAATATGGAAAGTTAATTTCGTTATACAAACTATGTATTAAATGAAAATTGTTGAAGCTGAACCAGTAGCTTTTAACCTCGCAGGAAAAACTTTATCTGGTTTACATACGTTTGAAAAATGTTGAAAAATAAAATGAGTTTAAAATGTGCCAATATAGTTTTATTTTTTTTTTTAAATGATTTTAACTTTTTTGCATGACAAATTTTTAGAAAAAAGATCCATAAAACCATTAAAAAAATTATCTTCTATACATTTTGTTATTTGTTTTAAACTTTAAATGGTATATGGTATCTTAAAAAATAAACTTATAAATATTCGAGTAATATACTATATGAAATGAATAAATACATATTATGCTTATGTTTAAAAATGATAATATAATAGTGCCTAAAAATCTAAATTGATCAATATATGCCCAAAGGCATTGTATAGTACTATACGTGCTTAAGGTTTATATTATACTTTTAAATAATTATTATTAAAAATACTCTCTTAATATATCACAATTTTACGAAGTGTATTAATTATTAATAACTGCAATCCCTTGGTATTTTCTTGTATCTTAACTTTTTGTTTTTTTTTTTTTTTTTTTTTTAAGCCTGTTGTTTTTCATTTATTNGGGCCCATTATTCTTGAAATAAACGCTTAATTGTAATAATAATATAATTTTACATTTCTTTTTAGGTTGTTCCTCAGGCCTATGTTCCGAAAATAACATAACAAGACTACATCCGCTATAGTTTTGCGTGTCTTTGAATGTAAACAGCGACGAGTAGTTGGACAAAAAAAAAACAATTTTGTAATAACCATTTTAATTATTTAATATAACAAATATCAATATACTGATAATAGAAGTAAAATTATTAGAGAGAAGACAAGGACAATTAATTTTGGATGAAATATTAATTTATAGTACATTGGTACGTCAAAACATAACACTACCGCTTTAATATTATATAAAATCGTTTTGAAAAAAATATTCAAAAATGTACCTAATACTGTACTTTGCTCAATTCGATGCCCTGACTGTAACTCTAACAGCTACGCTTTTGTTATTGGTTGCACATTTGTATATGATTCATTTGGAATACTTACACAAGTTAGGACTGAACGTGACTACAACTGATATTACTATCTATGTTCCACCGGAAAACAATTATTGGGGGCTTAGTTTTTTATGGTCATATATTTTTAATGAATAGGTATTTGCAGTGGTGGTCATTTTACTATATTTTTATCAACATGCTTAATGTAGATCTAACATAAATCCTAAATTTTATTTTGCATATTTTACAGTTTTTGCTTTTTAGAACATAGTTTAACAGTTTGTAGCTTTTAAATGTTATAAAATAATCCTTTTATACACGCTCTTTTTCTATTTATATTGTTCAAATCCATGGGCATTGATGTGTGATAGTCGAATAAACTATCATAAAATGGTTAATTTAATTATCATTAAGTTCAGTAGCGAATTTAGGAGGGAGGGGAGAGAATTGGAAGTTATATCAACCCTTTGAATATATTGTTACATCGTAATGATCTAGTATTTTTAGTAGATATTTCTTAACATTTTAGTCAGAAAATTCAAAAAATAAAAAATTTGATGTGTCTTTACCTACTTATAGTTAATAATGTTGATTTATCAAAAAACCTGAATGTGAGCATTTTCTTGTTTAAACGAAACCTATATTCAAACAAATAAAATATGAAGGAAATTATTTTAGTTTATATAAATAATAAATCAATTAATAATAATTACTTATCTTGGTATACCGAGAATTTTCCATTACTCACAAAAATATGTAAATTAAAAAATGATTCTTTGTTTATTTTTGGGTACACGTTATACAATATGACACAGTTTTCAAATCAAATATCTCCCTCCTTGGCAAGATCCTAAATACGCGACTAATTAATTTGAAAAATAACTCTCAAATGATTCATCAAAAACACAAAGTTTTCACGTAAATACCATTAATAATAATAATAAATTAGTTATGTATCACGTTTTTAATATACAATTTTAATACGAAATTAAAGCACATTATAGTGTACCTATGTATCTGTACCAAATATATACCTAAATGTATAAATGTATTGGTCGTTTTTTGGCCGCCAGCACCACGTAACAAAAGCCTCTTTTTTTTTATACATTTTTAATATTGTCCACGAATCAGCTTCATATATAGCGCCACACTTCATACAAGTGTTTTTACTATTTTTATTAATGTTTTTCTAGAGTTAAAATTTAATGAATTTGTGGTAAGAAATTTCTTCTTTTTGAAAAATACCTGTTTAATGTAAGCTATTCTACACTTAATGTCTATAGTACTTTTCCTGTCACTTGTGACTCTGCTTTTGAGTTATTTATATGTATATTATATTTATATATGAATACTGCGAGAAAAACATTAATAACTGAGGAAATTATACTTATATGTCCAAAGAAAAATTGTTATGCTATGCAACTTTATACTTTTTAATATGTTTGTATTATTATTTTTTTTTACCTACCCATCTTTTGTAAGCGGAATTTCAAATTAGATTTATTATATTATATTATATTTATTAATTATTATTAATTTATTATACAATTAAATATCTTATTTATTAAAATTAATGTATCCTTAAAAAATTAAATAAGAAAATTAACCTGCCTACAATTTTATTTGTTTTAAACATATAACTGTTATTAGGTTTATTATTAAAATTAGTGATGTGTCTGAATGAACAGTTAACATTCAAAAAATGTGTTGGTAATTTTAGTTTTTTATCTGGTTTTTTTTTTCCATTTATTTATTTGCATCCCAAAATATGTGATGTTTATATGTTTAGTCTTTACTTCTTATCAAACTGTATTTATTTATAGTTTATAATTTTTAAAAAATAATTTTAACATGTACTGACTTTCATTTATCCGTGAATAGTTTTAATATTATTTAATTAATATTGTCATCTTACATAATTTGATTAACAATTTTAGTTTTATATTCAACCCAGCGAAATTAAATTTTAACATTCCTTATTTATTGTATTTTTAATGTATTTATGTGTTTTTGTACTAATAACAATAATATAACTATTTAAAGCTACTATTTTATTTAAATGTTCTTTCTATAAAACTGGTAAGCAAAACAAATTTTATAAATAGTTTGCCAAAGTTTTTTGAATACAGGGGCGTCTTCAAAACTTAAATATGGGGTGGTGAAAATTATGTTATGTATATTATTTATTATATTAAATATAATATTAATGGTGAACAAAAAAAAAAGACACGAGACCATGCACAATGAGTGAACCACTGTTATAGATGAGAAGTTCGGAAGGTAGGATATTGATAAATTAATAATAGCGGTATTTTTTAAAAGAAATTTTACTAGAAATTTTACTTTAGAGAGGTCNGACAAAAAGTCGAAATAGATTATTAGGATCAAAACTTGTATTTTTACAGTCTTTAGACAATAAATATTGAGAGTAAAATGTAATAGCAATTAATTTAATAACATATATACAATAATATAATATATATAATTGTCGCCGCAACGATGGATTTTAATTAGAATGTGCGGGCCGATTTTGACGGTCAAGGCCGCTATTAATTGGCAATTATCTGCCAGTCACGCGCACACGCACTACCACGTATATGTATAATTTTAGTAAGTTTATGTTCTGTAATTGTGTTATTATTATTTTTATGTCTTATCTTTTTGTGTAATTATGTGAATAATACGCAACTTTCGCTCATATCGTACTGTTCTGGCTGCCCGTTCGACACACACACGGTTCGCGAATTTTACGTTCCGGTAAAAAGTTTTTGTTGTTTTTGCGTGCCATATCGAACAGTGGCTCCGACGGACTCTAGGCTCCTAGGACAAGGGCTTCGATAGGCATCACAGCAATCCGTAGCAAATAATACGTGCCTACGTCTAACAACCGTATTAATTCGGAAACGTCTCGTCCGTAACATTAGCGACACACCGTCAATTACCATTAGCGTTACCATTTTGTCGTCTTGTGTAGTATGTTATATTGTAAATTATAATCCGTGAGTTGTTTTTCCGTTATTATTAGGTAAATATAGGTTTAGTCGGCGGCTGGCCAGTCTGCACTTCATTGTCCGTGAGTAAATTATTTATTATTGTTTCTTGTTATGTTTCACTGTTGTATATATATTTTTGTGTTATATCATATTATACAATTTATCAATTTATTTTCATACCGGTCTATTACCCACTAACCAACTATTCTATTAGATGTGTGAATTTTTTACTATTTATTATTCTAAATTATTAAATTATTATTAAAAAAAAGAGCGTGATTACCAATAGTTTTGTAACCACTTTGTACCATTTTTCCTAATATTAAGTTACACGCACACACACAAATACACGATCTTGGACGGTGGGGAAAGAGCGCGAAGAATCTGGTGTCCGGGCTACGCGAAATATTTAAGTCTTTTAAGTCTAGCTCCCTGCCCACACACTAATCTAGATAACATTATAACAATTAACAGATGTAATAAATTATTACTAATTGACATTTCCCCGGAACATGTACGCCAAACGTTATCGGCCGACAAATATTAATTGTTTATTACTCAGCACAATACAATTTATCATAATATCTAATATCTATAATAGCTAGGACCTATTAATAATTCCTGATATATCGAACAATATAAAACATTATGGATATCGTATCGAATTGTCGATATTGTTGGCTGTTGCCCATCACTAACAAAATGTGTCACTAACATATCAAAAATGTTTTATATTTTATAATTTATTTATATACGGAACACGGATTTCATGGTTTTAGCAGGAATCAAAATATATCTCAATTCTTGGTTTTTAGGCTTTGGATTTATTAATGTTATCATTATCAAGTACAATATTCGTATAATTGATAAAAATCATTGGTATCATTGGTATTGTATATTTTGGAAAATGCACCACAGTGACACGACACGATGTACCCGTGAACTCGTCTTTAGGTTCAGCCCATGGTTTATGATATAAACCATGGTTCAAACCATACCGTACGCCTGATAAGGAAAAAATATAACTGCAAACATTCCAATATTCAATTTATTATTGTATTTTATCCATAAGCGATTAGCGGAACAAAGAAACTGTGCAATAAAGACTTAAAGATAGTTGTGTTCTAACTTGTCTGACTGTGCGTTGAACAAAGTAATTAAGTATCACTAACCTTGTAGGTAGGTAATTATAACAAAGTATTTGAGACATATTTTATCGTGATTTTAACGCACGCGCGAAAATGAAGAAAATCACTATATTTGGATATATTTTCTCCTCAAAAGGGTTGTGTGCCATAGAAGCAGCTTTGGAACAAGGTGAGCATAATATTTAGATATTCCTTTTGGCCTCCCATGTTTTTTTTTTTTTTTCTAAAACTTTACCCGAATTTCCTCCTAATTCGAACATATCAAAACACAAATCGCCTCCTATTTAAGGACCTTAAGGTCCGCTCAAACTTAATCGGTAACGGTGATGTTAGTTTTGAAGATATTTATTTCGCTTTATTTCCGCGTGGACCATTTAATCGAAGAAAAATATTTCACCAAGCAGTGAATAGTCGACATTGTGAAATCTATGCGTAGTGTAACAAATTAATACAGTTTTTTTTTCAAATCGGGAGTGCTATATTATATTATATTATAAGATATTCTTTTACAGCTTTTATTAATTGTTCTATTTTATTTATTATTTGTATTAAATTTAGAAAACTACTTATAGCATTCACAATGTATAATGGAAATTTAACTGTTAGGTACCTATTTATTATGATTTTGGATTTGTTGTTGAATATTAAGTTAAAGTATATTATTATGAAATTTACTGCTAAACTTACTAATAATAAAATTTCAATATGTGTACATAATTGAGAATTTACTGTTGATTATCGCAGCCAATGAGTTTAAAATTTTCGAATTTGGGTTAATTAAAATTAAAATTAAGTTTATTGATTTTTTAAATAAATTATACATAATTTTTTTTATGTCATTTTTCAAATTTAATTTAAATCCTTATCAAGTAAAAATTGTTTTACCTTTTTTGCTAATAAAATTTATTTGATATATTATGTACCTACGTATTACTATAATGGTTGTGCATACATAACTCACTATGTTGATCTGATCGCTGGTGATATTGAATACTATTTCAAATTGATAAATTTATTAATCTTTTTAGGAAATACTATAAATACCTATTTTAAAACATTACAGAAATCGATATATTAATTATTACCTAATGTATGTATTGGAGGCGATTTGAGTAGAGAAACCTACTTAGGTATGTACTAAAATAGCTCCTAAAACATTTGGAGCAATTTGAGTAATAAAAGTTCACTTTACTAAATTTGGCAAGCAATTTGTATGCGCACATTCCTCATTTGATAAAAAAGAATAACATATTTTTCCATAGGTTTAGAAGTAACTGCACTGGTTAGAGATCAAAGTCGTATGCCCGAAAAGCTCCGTAAATAGGTGAAAATGGTCATGGCTGATGTTTTGAACGAACAGGATGTGGATAAGGTTGTTAGAAGAAGCAATGCAATCATTGTGACTTAAGGAACCAGAAGTACTTTATTAATTATATTTGATTTATTTAAAATTACATAAGTAATATAGTCTGTGTAAACCTTGTAAATATAATTTAAATCACTTTTGCAGCCCCTACCACTATGATGTCTGATGGATTGATGAATATTTTGCGGACAATGGAAAAGAACAATGTGAACATTTTATCCTTGTGCTTATCCTGTAATTATTTGTTAATTTATTTAATGTTTGCTATTTATTTGTACCATTGTATATTAAATATTATTTTCTGACAAAGTTCCAGAAAGATACCAAGGAATCATTGATGATCATGCGCGTATGTTACATTCACTACTGTAGTAGTTACCCAAAAAACCTGAGAAGTTGAAAGTGAAAGCTGATTACAAAGAAGAACTTCAATTATGTGCAGATAAATCCGAAAATATGAATGACTTTGGCGTGGAGGGAGTGGAAGGTCGCCCTAAGGCTTCTAAAAAACAGCAAAGCCGCAGGCGAAGATGGTATTCTATCAGAATTCCTCAAACATATGGGCATTAAAGGGAAATTTTGGCTAGCAAGCCTTTTTCATCAGTAAAAAATAACAACACATTGCTAAACAATGGCGGGAAGCTAAAGTAGTTGCGATATTAAAATCTAGTAAGCCTGACGACGACCCAAAAAGCTACAGACAGATTTCACTGTTATCTGTTGTTTACAAGCTATTTGAAAGAGTACTCCTAGTAAGAATCCAAATACAGTGAAACTTCCATTTAACGAAATATTTTTAAGAACTATGACCTTCATTGTTAATTACACATTTAATTACACGTTTTATCTCCAAATAACAAATCTGATGTTTCTATATAACGAAATAATTATTCGATAAAAACCAGTTTTTATAAATGTTGTCACTATCAAATTGATAGTTTATGTCATAGTTCTAAAATTGTACATGAACAATGTACCCGGTAAAGATAAGACATCGAAGGTAGGCAAGCTGATTAATTTTACTACAGTACTTCAGTTCCAATATTGATGCAAACAAGTATGAATTTTCTTTCGTTTTCTCTTCGTCTGTACAAAAAAAATGTCGAAACATAAATGTTTATCTATCGCCGATAAATTTGAAATTTTAAACGAAATCGATAAAGGTGTTAAAAAAAAGATATTGCCGCAAAATATAGTATTCGAACAAGTTCTCTATCAACCATTTTGAAAAACCGTGAAAACATAACCAAGCAAGTGCAAAATTCTTCTCTCCTCAACAATAGAAAATGAATGAAAATTTGTGTCTATGAAGAAGTTGACTACACTGTTCTTAAATGGATGACTTTGTTATATGGAAGTTTCACTGTACAAATCGAAGAAAACTGCCAGTAGAACAGGCGTGTTTTAAACAGAAAAGAAGCTGTAGTGAACAAGTACTATCACTAAAAACCTGTTTTTTTTCTTTCGAAAGAAACTGAAAACGGAAGCTGTTTTCCTAAACCTGGCCTGCGCCACGGTGTGGATACGAGGTTTACTTTTGAAATTAGCCAAAATTATAAAATGTAAAACATCATTGCGACTTATTGTCAATATACTGTCAGACAGAAAATATAAAGTTCACCTAAATGGAAAAGTAAGCAAATACAAATTCCTTCAAAATGGTCTTCCTCAGGGCTCAGTACCCTCCCCCATCTTGTTTAATGTCTACACAGCGGATATCATAAATACCTCGGCGCGCAAATTTATGTATTTAGATGGGATCAGCAGCCCAACCAGAATCTTTTGAAAAGTTGGAGGATATATTAAACGAAGACCTAGTAAGAGTACAGAAATATTTCAAATCTTGGTTCCTTGTCCTTAACCCAAATAAAACCACATCCATGGTGTTCGATTTGAACAACAGAGATGCTAACAGAAAACTTAACCTGATAGTTCAAGGAACTAAACTAATGAGTGACGCTCCAAAATATCTAGGGATCAAGTTGGACACCTACAACCTACATCTTGAAGATGTAAAGAATAAACTAAAAACCAGGAATAATATTATTAGTAAACTAGCAGGAACAAGTTGGAGCTGCCGAGCAAATGTACTCCGCATATCGGCCCTAGCCTTGGTATACAGCGTCGCGGAGTATTGCGCCCCCGTCTGGGAGAGAAGCATACACGCTAAAAAGGTTGACACTCAGCTGAATAATATGCGAATCATTACAGGATGTGTCCGGGCTACCAACTTACAGTGGCTTCATATCCTTTCAAGTATAGCCCCCCCCTGGCTGCTCAAAATTGTTACAAAAAATCAATAGATCAGTGAGTCTTCCTGTATACAACGACATAAATAATGCATCCACTAAAAGATTAAGATGAAGGCACCCAATCTGATCAGTAGAAAATAGTTCTGACAGAATGGAGGATATGTGGAAACAATGCTGGGAAGAAGGTAACGCGAAAAACAGACACCTGATAAGTGACCCTACCCAAAGAGTCCCAGGTTTTGATTGCCCAAGAGCCATATGGACCAACTTATACAGGATTCGAACGAATCTGGGTAATTGTAACTACCTCCTACATAAATGGAAAATAAAAAACTCTCCTTTGTGACTGCGGACAAATACAAACCATCCAACATATTATGGAGGAATGTCCTCAAACGAGATACAAGGGAGGAATTGAGGAACTTCATACGAGCAGTGAAGAAGCAATGAGTTAGTTGTCGAAAACTCAGTTCGCTATTAAATATATTATGAGCTTCTTTATTATTATTATTTTTTAGTATATTGTAAATCTATCTGCCTTATTCCTCGTTATTTTGTTAATTTAATTTAGTTATGTTTTTCTCTAATAAACCTAAAGAAATGAAAGAAAAAAACTACTGCAGTTTAAAAATCTGAACTAGTTTGCTGTAATGCCACCACATATTGGGATTTCACTATTCAAAACGGCTCATCACCAGGACCTGTCATATCAAAATATGACCTTAGCAAATTTATGATTGAATGGTTTAACTAAACCCGTTTTTATAAGCAGCAATGTGGTTTGACAACCAGAATTTTTTAAACATTTCTCCAAAAATGGAAAATAATTATGCAACCATAATATTATAAAAAATCTACTCAAAGTCTCTAATAATAATTTACAACAGTATTTAGATTAATTAGTAAATTAATTTTAAAAAAACCATTTCCAAACCCCTTAAAGAATATTTTATTCACAGTGTTATTGTATTACACTAATATTTATTAAATAGTAAACAATTTATTTTTACTATACCATTTAATCTTAAGATTTTATCCTGTTTCAAGAATATAGATTATTTAATAAAGAGACGATGATACATATTTTGTTTAATTATTCTTTCTGAACCTTTTTCCTTTTTAGTGTTGCATACACTAGGTACATTTTACATAGGTGCATACAAAAAATACATATTTTGGTATTCTGTTAAAAACATAAGTAATATGTTTAATATTGTATTAATACTTAGAAACAAAATATATTTAATATAAAGATCTTAATTAACATTACTAAATTATTTTTAAGAATTATACTATATGTACATTATATTATACATATATTTGTGTATTAGGCATCTACACAAGAGATGTTAAGTATTTGTATCATAACATAATAATTTTAAAATCCATACTATAAAGTTGTAACATTTGAGCATAATATTATTTCATATTGGCTTGATGAATTTTGGAACAAAAAAAAATTTACTATTGATTTTTATACTGGTGATTCTTTTATCACAAACCTGCAATTTTCTCAAAGAAAGTATATTTAATTTTTTTTTTAAATGATAATCTATTTATAAATATTTAATTTTAATTATAATTTTTAATAAAGATCCTCCCCTTTTAATCGCTAATTCAAAAAGAGAATATTTTTCGAGAAATTTTGAAATACATAACACTTATATATTTAACATTTATGAATAATAACAGATCAAAATTTAAGGAAGGGTAATTAATTGCTTATATATTTTAAAATGATAAATTGGCCATTCCTCCCATCTAAACTATAATCAGTTATAACCTCATAAACATTAAATTTTATATTAGTGAAATGTATATCAACATTTCTAGAAAAATATTTAAAAATATATAAAAAATTTAAAAACAAACGGACATATTTCGCACAATGGGTGGGCCACAATTTTGTAGGTGAGAAGTTGTGACAGTAGAGAGAAAATTGAATGTATATTTGTAGCCAAAGATTAATCATTGCTAATGATTTTAGTTAAACGTGTTTTGAAAGGCCGTAATATTTACGATTTGAAAATAATATATTTTGTAAATTTTCCCATTTATCTGGGAAAATCAAAAAATGATCTTCCCAAAGTAGGTACCTATCACCCTAGTCAGATTTCCTTTCAGAAAAAAAATTACACTTGAAAATCGGATCAAAATTTCTGGTAGAATATTTGTTCTCAGATAAAAAAGAATAAATAAAATAAACATCACTATAAAACCAATACATTCGTCGCTCCGGTCAGAATATAAAACACATAGTAAAGTCAATTGGCTTCGATCCACTTTTAATCTAAAACAGAAATCGATTTCACAATTTCATATTACATCATCCAAGAAAATTGGTGGTTCATGACAAAGTAATTCATCTTGTATAGGTACCTTCTACTTTAACATTTCAATACCTATTTTTTAAACATTTATGATGTGGATTATAGACTATGGTGTCATAATTATGGTAATTATAATTTACTTATTAAAATTTGAAAGTAAATACTATTTAATTGCATACTGCACCAATAATAATTAATTAATTAAATGTTTAATTAATTGACATTGATTATATGCAATGTATTAGGTATGTTTAAATAGTTATAGGTACCGTGTTAATTTATATTGTTATACATACCTAATATTATAATAGTTTTTATAGGGTATGTAATACAAGAGTGTGTTGGACGGTTGTAGCAATGTTAAGATTGGCAAACGTAATATAGGTAGCATGTTAATTCTAACTATATTATATTATGTATTAGTTTTATTATGATGTTTATTTTTTAAATTTGTTCACACCTGTGAATAACTTTTTTTACCAGTTATTTTGCTCCGATTTTCAATTATAGTACTTTTCCGAAAGGAAATCTGACTGGGGTGGTACTTCAGGGTGATCATTTTTTGGTTTCCCCTGCTGTTTTCATAATAAATGGGGAAAACCGTGGGTAAAACGGGAAAATAGGTACAATTCTTCTTCTTATCGTGTCCGGTGCTAGGGCTATATCTATATACTATTACATAAAATACATAAAATACATAAATACATAAAGTTGTCTAAAAATAGATAGGTTAAAATATGAGTATAAAATATAAAATTAAATGTTTAAATATTTTGTTTTAGCCAGTGAGTTGTAATTGATATTGCTTTTTCGTTGGCTAAAGCCAAGTCGTCGGTCGTGCATCCTGGTGGAGCTAGTGTGCATTGTAGTAAGTGTTCATCTGATTGGTCTTCGCCACATTCGCATAGTATGTCCAGTTCTTTCTGGTATCCCCATTTCATCATGTTTACTTTTGTTTTTGCTACTCCAGTTCTCAACCTATTTAATGTCTTCCATATAGTCCATGGTTGGTTTCCTCCACATGGTAGTTGCTCAGCAAACGGGACGGGTTTTTCGCATTGTAGCTCTTCTCTCCATTTTAGTATTCTCTGTTGTTCCGGTGGGCCTTGGATCGTGGTTGAATTGGCAATAAAGCTTCTTCGGGATTTAAGTCTCCTTTGGGGTGCTGAGTAGCCATGCATGGGGTGTCGTTGATCCATTGTTTGTTTGGTTCTCTCCATGCATGTGGCCACATATCTTCGTATTTTGGGTGGAGCTATCCCTGCTAATGGAAATATATATTTAAGTGGTGTTGGCTTAAGGCATCCGGTTATTATCCTACAAGTTTCATTGAGGGCCGTGTCAACATGTTTTGAATGTTTAGATTGGTTCCATACTGGGCTAGCATACTCGCCTGCCGAGAAACAAAGTGCTAGTCCAGTAGTACGGATCGTGTTTGGAGTTGCGCCCCACTTGCTACCTGTTAGTTTCCGTATTAGATTGTTTCTTGCTTCAACTTTCATTTTTGTTTTCTTACACTGTTCTTTGAATGTAAGAGTTCTGTCCAGTGTGACCCCTAGATAAACTGGGTGTTCTGTATTTCCCAATGGTTTTCCAAGCCATTCAATTTTTAGTTTTCTTTTTGCCTCGCGGTTTCGGAGGTGGAAGCTGCATATCTGTGTCTTATGTGGATTAGGTCTTAATTGGTTTTTTATGTAATAATTTGTTAGTTCTTGAAGTGATCTGGTAAGTTTACGTTCGACTATTTCGAAAGTTGTGTCCTGCGCTGCTAGGGCTAAGTCGTCTGCATATAAGAAATTTTTTTTTTCTTTAATGATGGGCTGATCGTTGGTGTATATGTTGAACAGCATGGGCGCTAGCACGCTACCTTGGGGTAACCCATTTCGCTGGTTTCTCCATCTGCTCCATTTATTATTTAGTGTAACTGTAAAACGTCGATTGTGTAGCATAGAGGATATTATTCGGACAAAGTGCCAGTCATCTGTACATTCGTATATCTTTTTAAGTAAAAGATTATGGTTCACCGTATCGTACGCTGCGGATAGGTCTACAAAAACCACCCCTGTTACTTTTTTATTCTCATAGCCGTCCTCTTTATGTTGGCACAGGTTTAATACCTGTCCTGTACAGTTTTTGCCTGGCCTAAAACCAGCTTGCTCAGGAATAAGTTTTCTTTCGACTTGGCACTTGATACGATTCATAATCATGCGTTCATACAATTTAAAGGTATGACATAGCAAAGATATCGGTCTGTAGTTTTTTGGGTTTTGGTAATCTTTGCCTGGTTTTGGCAGTGCCACTACTTTTGCCTTTCTCCACATTTTGGGTACTAAGGCCTTATCGCGGCATAAGTTTAGAAAAGTTAATAACCATTGTTTAGCTTTTATGCTGAATTCTTTTATTTGTTCTGTCATTATTTCGTCCAACCCAGGTGCCTTTCCGTTTTTCATCTCCTTCAGGCTCTCGTTTAGTTCATCAAGAGTAAAGTCAAGCTGGAAATTATTTTGCTCAGTGTCTAAGGTTCTAATGAGTTTTTCTCTTTTGATTTTTGTCCCTGGTTTACCGTTTAAGAGTAGCTGTGTGGCTACTTGATTAGCTGTTACGTTTATATCGTTAGTGTGTGTAACCGGGTCCCCACTTAGCCTCTTGATGAGTCGCCATGCTTTTTTGCTGTTTTTGGTCATGTCTGTATTCTCAATGAGTTCATGCCACCTGTCATTTCTATTTTTACATAGGTGGTTAATCAGGGTTTCTCCTAATGTTACTGTTTCTTCNATGTGGCCACATATCTTCGTATTTTGGGTGGAGCTATCCCTGCTAATGGATATATATATTTAAGTGGTGTTGGCTTAAGGCATCCGATTATTATCCTACAAGTTTCATTGAGGGCCGTGTCAACATGTTTCATAGGTACAATAGTAAACAAATATTATTTAAAAGAAAATACTTAATAATGCATAATATGTAATTATTTTACCATTATATGACATAGATATTACGTATATTATTGACAAAGCAACACTATTGACGATTTTCGTTAGTAATGGTTAATCGTTAGGTTACTGGAAAGCAGATAGGTATATCTCTGTTTCACAAAGCTACAACGGTTACTGTGGGACGCGAGTGCCGACTACCGGGTTGCTACAGTTGCTACGAAAGTCAACTATCCATATTATATTACTACGAACATAACATTACTTCGAATGTCAACTCTTCCGAATACAACTGGTACGAAAGTATATTACTACGAAATTAAATTTCAAATTCGATTAACGTGACCGAAACTGGTACGAAAAACGATTGCGAATTGATTAACAACACCACGTTACCACGTTACCACGTTATGGCAATTTATATCATATACCATTCCTATTTTAATTATGTTAAAAAGTTAATTGTTTGGTCAATAAATTGTATCATAATTAATGTGATCGTATTATAATTATTATTTTGTTCGTATTGTATTATGTTGTATAATTTTTAAATAAATTATTTTTTGGTTTAATATTGCATTATATTTTGCAAATCAATAATGGGCGACATGTATGTCATTTCGTAAGTATAATGGGAAAAAAATTCACCTTAGGACAGTTTGCTTTTTCAGGAACGTGATAAGGCATATGATCTAGTCATTTTTATTACTTGTGAATAACAATTTAGAATGATATTTAAATATATTCAATATTGAAAAATGTAAACCAAGAAGAACAAACGGGAATGCAGCGGTTCGATGTTATAATTTTGAATGTATTATTTGAATTTGTAGTATGAATTTTTAAATTTTTTTTTTAGATTGAACAATCCCATATAAATTTAGTTATTAATCTATTGGAATTAAATACTCCTAATGATTAAATCAAAGAAAGATCAATATTTTTTACTGAGAAATTTAAATGAGATGTGTGTACCTATTAAAAGTTGCAAAAATACCTAAATATAATCAATCTGGCCACAGTTAACATTATTTGAGTTTTCTTCGGGAAGAAAACCTGTACAAGGTAACAATTAATACTTAATCGCATTCATATTTTGGTAATTTAACTTCGAAACTATCCTCTTACCATTTTTGTTTTAGACAAACTTGATATTTTAGTCCAAAACGTAATACGAATACATGTCTACCCATTAGCCTAGTTGAACAAAATGAAAGATTAAAGAAAAACTAAAGATTTAATTCAAAAAGGATTTCCTGAGAGAACACTTATGTTTCGTCCAACATTAATAACAAGATTAAATACTCAATTTTAACGCCATTTGAATTGTCTTCAAAAATAAATGTCTAATATTGAATATCTTACTACTAATGTTGACCTCTGGTCAATATTTAAAAGGTTAGCTTATTACCTACATAATTTATAATATAAATAAATTTTAGTTTAAATTTCTATTATTTTATTATTAGATCATATATTTTTATTACTTTTCACTGGATAATCCAGGAAGATTTAATTAACTTGGAAATTGTAAAAATTGACTACGAACCCAGTATAACTTAACCGATTGGTAGAGAAGCATATATTTGATATGTCAGCCAAAGAAATGAAATCTGTGTACTTCAAATATGGCATCAACAACAAAATTACATATACAACTACAGACAATGGTTCAAATTTTATTTAAAAGTTTTAAGTAAGTAATAATTAAACCGGTTTAGGTAATTTATATAGTACCTAGGTAGTTGATACTAGGTATACTTTATGTTATATACTCATATTCAGCTTAGTACATTATGATGTGAGTTATTTATACTAGGCGCAAAACATCAAATGCAACTCAAATCACATTAAAATGATAAAATATTCAACTTAATTACTTAAACATGATTTTTAAGTTTTTATAAAATGTAGCTGGTAATAAATACTTATCATAAGTCAATTTTTTTTATTGATTATAATATGTTAAGTTTATATTTGTATATATGTATACATTGTGTACATTTTAGTATTCTTAGGCTATTAAAATGTAGTTTATAATTTTAAATAATTCTTTTGTCAAATATAAGTAGTACCTACTTAAATTATACATCAATAATATTATTTAATAATTTTAGAATTTTCAGAAGAGTAAATATTGGCAACAACCACAGTGATACTATATCTAATATTGAGATTGAAGAAAAAACAGATGCCAAAATAGTAAACATACTGATATCCTGGATAAAAATATTCGTTTTGATTACTTTAATTAATGTTTACCGAAGCATCATAGATGTGCTGCTCACACATTGAATTAAGTTGTGACTAATGTAAATATTTAAAATACCATTTAATTTAAAATGTTATAAAAATAATTCATCAATTAATTAGTATAGTAATATGTAATTGATTTAATAACTAATAATATTTATTTCAGGATATTGAAAATGCAATAGTCAAGCTCAATTGTGGCATAGGAAGTGAAACTTTTAAATCACCAGACTTATTGCTTTTCAAAAAACAAAGAATACAGACTATAGCCAAATGTACAGTTTTATGGAACAAATAAAATCTGTCTACAACTTAAGCAGATGTTGTAAATAAATACCTAGGTATTTATCTTAAAACTCCTAATGAACCATGGAATACTTTTTTTGATTCAACCAAATATGTATTTCTATACCTCAAAAAAAATCCTGGTAAATTTTTAAAAATGTGTAATGAGTTAAATGTTAATTGGTTCAACAAATTAGAAACAGAATGGTTAGACAATTATGATTTTATTTTGGAACTGAGTAGCTAACCAGTTCAAAGCACAGAACACCGGAATATGAATATATTTTACATCCATCACAGTTTACCAGGACAGAGGAAAAACTTGAGTATGCAATCAGTCAAAAATCATATTGTAAAAATTAAAAATAAATTTCAATCCTACAATTTTGGTTGTATTATAGAATAAAATAAAACTATCATTGGGGAAAATATTGATAAAATTATGAATTAAAATAAATATTATTAAATAAAATATAACTTAAAAGTTTTAAAATAGAAGAAAATGCTTTAAATACTAAAAAATCAAATATGCATTTATATGTAAAACAAAATCTATCTTTGTTTTCACAAAAACGTATTCATATTTTACAATTCTATTTTTTTAATAAAGTAAAATAAATATGTATCAAGAATTAATAATATTTATAATTATTTAATTGCTGTGCTAATTAATATAAATTAAACACCAGTCCTCATGCTTTTCAAAAATTTCAATTCAAGTCGATTTCTTTCTCTTATATGAAACTTTAAATTATAGTCTTAAAAACCATACTGAGAAACGTTCCTTTTAGAACATGGTACAGTAAACTTACATTTTTCAGAGGCTAATAATATGAATGTCTTTAAAATAAAATAAAACATTTATAATACATTTAACATAAATAAATTCATGGTACCAGAAAAATATGTGCAATATTTTTATCTATTGAAAGTGGCATTAGTACACTGTACCAAGTTGATTCTCGCCTCAATGTCTATCCACTTCACTACCTCTTTGTTACTCTATGATCTATACTCAGTATACTCATATATTAACATCCATTACAATATTATTATGCTATACTATTTACCCATTGTTTTAAATTTTTGAAAATTTTAAAACAATAAAAATTAGGGATCAGATTTATATGTTTTTAAAATCCGCAAAAAAGCATTTGAAAACATCAAAAAAACTTGAAAAAACACTCAATAAATAAATAAAAACTAAAATAGTATAAGGGTTTAATAGTCCCCTATAACAGACTTTTTTTTTTTACAATTTTTTTATACCACAAAATTGATTAGTAAAAAGTAATTTTTTTTTTTATATTATGTAAGATTTTATTTAAAAGAAATCATTGTGTGTTAATAATTTTTGTAGTGTTAGAAAATTAAATTTAATAATTTGGAGCCATTAGAAGAGGACTTTAAAACCACTCTATCATTTTTACTTTTTTAAATGTTTTTATGTATTTTTTTTACAGGGCTTTTTTGCTGATTTTAAATGCCTTTTTGTGGATTATAAAAGAATATTAATCGATCTCTAGTAATTATATTTTGTACTTCATGACTTCATTAGTACTTTACATTATGTTCATAAGTATTTATAACAAGTTGAAAGAATATATATCATTGTATAACTAATATTTTAATGCTTTATTAGTTAAAAATGTCTTCTATATAATGTAATAAAAATTGCCATTAGACAACATGTTAGTCAAGTCCTACTTAATAATAAATAATAATAATAATACATTGAACACTATTTACAATCTTTAACTGTTCAGACAATTCTATAGTTATTTAAAGTTTTCATAGATTTTCAATATTTTAATATTAAATGTTAATCTTGAGTCACATTTTGTTTCAAGGTTACTGGGGTTTTACCTGTAAGCAGAGATTGGATGTTGAGTACCAGGAGTGCATGTGAATTAACAACATTGATGCACAACCTCAGAGACCTCCGCATCATGTTTCAGCGACAGTTGTTTCTACCTTACATTGCCTATCAGACAAGTAACAGATTTAGAGTCTGGATCGAAAATAATGAAATCCATAATGCTGTAATATTTTCATTATTTCTTACTTATTATTTTTTTTTAACACTAGGTAAAACTTATAATGTACCACCTATTAAATTTTCAAGTATTTTTGGTTAATCTTACAATTATTACAATATCCACATAATACCTATCTAATAAAAACTAGTGTAAAAAAAACTCATTTATATAAAATTATATAAATATCTCAAAAATTGCTAAAATATTTTGAAAATTTTGGAAATATAATTTTATATCAAAATTTCCAATCTCTAATAATATTTTTACTTGAATTAAAAAAAAAAAAAAAAAGACTGACATACTTCACACAATTGGCAGACCATTAAAAATGAGAATTTAGGAAGATAGGATATAGAGGGGAACAAGAATATTCAGATGCTAAAAATAGGTCACCAACTGACTAAATTCCTGAGGTTGGTTGTATGAGTTGCCATGGAAACATGGCCTTGTCTGTTTAATCTTGTTAGTCAAATTTCCTGTTATATTCATATCAAGAAAATTGTTAGTACGAATTACACTATTTTCAAGTTAATGTATTGAGTTCATGTTTTTTTTTTTGCCAACAAATTAGTTTATCATTTACAGATTCATTTTTAAATAGTTAAAATGCCTAAAATTCCAATTTCAAAACTGGTGTCAATTATAAAGTGGATTGAGTCATACAATAATTCTAGTGAGATTTTTAAAACTTTATATAATATTACAGTTTTCGGTCAACATTGTCAAAAACCGATAATAGTTAAAAAAAATTTCAAATTGATCATCATGCAAAGTCTATTTTGTGTCAATTACAATTTTTCAAAGAATTTTGTAATAGATTAATTTCTTCAAAAAATATATAAAAAACTACAGAATACAAACTTTAAATCTTTTTTGGAAAATAACACAAATAAATACATACATATCAGATGAAAGTAGTTAAGAAAAAACTATTTTAAATAAATGTTATATTGATGTTTTACAAAATATTCAAGAATATATAGGCAACTAGTACAATTTTGTTTTCTGTTGATGAAACTACTGAACCTTGAGGAAAGTATGTAGCAAATTTAACTGTTGGCAAATTGAATGCCAATTCGCCTTCTAAATCTTTTAACATCAAAAGTTTTTAAGAAAAAACCAATAATTCTACAATAATACATTTTGTAAACAATTTTTTTAAATTATTGTAGCCTGAAGGTTACAATGATGATAACGTTTTGTTGATGTTATCTGATGCTGCTCCTTATGATGAAATCTGCACACAATTTAAAACCATTTTAATTGAATCTTATACTTGTAACTTGTTGCTCATAGTATCCACTGAATGGCTAAAAAATGTATGGATAGTTTTCATGACATTAATGATTTAATTAATAATGGAAAAAAGGTTTTCTCAATAGCTCCATATAGAATTCAGTTATATAAAAAAATGTTGCTAAACACACCTTTACCACTACAGCTAATAATTACCCATTGAGTTGCTTGGCTAGAATTAGCTTTCTTTTATATAGATCATTTTGAAGAGTTCAAAAATGTAATTGAAAACTTAGAAGATCAAAGAATTTTATTCATATTTTTATATGAATATCTTCACTCTTCAGAAAATATTGGTAGGTAATTGTGATTAAATTTTCAATTGTCAATTGTAATTAAATTTAAAGTTTCCTAAAATGTCTACTCAAATTTTTTTTTAGCATTTTAATGACTCACTAATCTACTTTCAGGTATCTATTTATGGGGAAAGAGTTTTACCACTTTTGTGGACAAAAATCACTTTGTAGGAATTTAGATAACTCATTTTTCAATATAATATTAACTACAAATTTTTTTTTTTTAATTGACAAAAAACCATATTCTAAAGGTTAAATTGAATCTGAATTTTCATTTAATTTCAAATAATGGTATGATAAAAACTAAAAATTTACTTATTTTATTTTAATCTTGCCAATGCAGTTTTTTAACTTTCTCTTTCAAACCAGATAATGAAAAGGTAAGATAATGAGAACGAGTGCAGCCATTGGTGTAGGTGGAAAGTTGGGAAGGTATAATATAGATGAAAATTTAATGTATATCTAAACAACGGTAAACCATTATTAACGAAAAAGAATTCTGAGCGAAATTCAGTTAATAGTGATGCTTTGTTAACAATATATATGTCATTTTATAGTAAAAAATTAAATAGGCCTTATATATTTTTTTTATAATATTTGATTATTGTTGTACAGATTTTCTTAATTTTCCTAAGTTTCTCCCATGTTTTATCACAGTTTTTCATATTTACTGGCAAAACTCCTGAGAAAATCAAAAAATGACCTCACTTAAGTACCTCCCTATACCTATTTCCTTTAAAAAAAGATACAACACTTAGAAATTTTTTTTGTACGTCTTTTGGTAGACAAGTTGTCAAAAAAAAAATAAATAAATAAATAAAAACATCTTTGTAAAACCATAAGATTTTTCACCGCACTCAGAATCTAAAATTTTATTTTATGAGAATAAAGGTGATTAGAATTATGTAATATTCGAGCATCAGGTTGTGTAAGTTTCCTGTAAATACTAAAATTAAATTTATTCTTTATTATGGAAACTGTTCTGGAGTTTAGATTCATGAAGGTATGGTGGTATAGAGATTCAAACAGACAATTTAGTTATCTACTTAAACAAAATAAATAAAAACATTAAATTTACACTGGAAACACGAATGAATAATAAATTAAATTTCTTAGATCTAACAGTTTCCATAATAAATAATAAATTTTGATTTTAGTATTTACAGAAAACCTACACAAACTGATGCTATAATACCACATGATTCTAATCACCTTTGTTTTTAAAAATATTATTTTTTAATTCAATATTCTATAGGCTTGAACATATTCCATTCAATAAACATAATTATCAACAGGAGCTAAGTATTATCTATAATATAGCCTAGAAAAATAGTTGAAATTTAAATACTATTGAAAAAATACATAAACGTATTAAAGAAAAAATAATACACTACTCATCAAATAATTTTGTTAACTATTGTAGTATGAAATATCAAAATAAAATGGCTAACAAATTCACTAAAATTCTGAACAACAATACAAATAATGTAAAAATAGCTTTTAAGACTAATAGTAATTTAATCAAACATATAAATAATAGAACTAAAACCTTATAAAAATCCCCCTTCTTTTGAAAATGCTGGTATAAATAAAATTAAATGTTACTGTAATCAATTTTATATAGGTAAGACAAATAAACATTTTAAAGTAATATATAAAGAATACATTTCTGAAATAAAATTTAAAAAGACTGCCCCTAATTCAAATTTCGTTAATCACGTTTTAAAAAATAACCATAATATAAGCTTTGATATTAATACAGACATAGAGAAATAAGATACCCAAAATAACATTTACATTAATTCAGTTTTAGAAGAATTACACACACACAATGAAATAAAGAAAAATAATTTTAATAATATTTTAAATATACCTACAAACTGATTTTAAAAATAATATATCAATATATTTTAAATAATCTCTCCTATTAACATAAATTTTAACTATTTAGTAGTCGTAATACTATTATTTTACTTAAAACTATATAAAAATTAATACATTATTGATTTTGTTCAGTTCGTTCAGTACAAAATATGAAATGGTCAAATATAATAAATATATATTATATATGTGTATTAATGTTAAGTTAGTTTTTAACCCATAGATAATTTATAAAACATAAAAGCATTAAATGAGAAAATGCATTCAAATTTAACTAGTTATACTTGAATTATATTTAAAAATGGTATTAACTTCCCTATTGGTTTAATGGAAATGAAAAATGTCAGTGCCATATATAAACTAAAATTTAATTTATTTTTAAATGGAGATTGTTGTCATTAGAAGATTAAAAATTGTTAATGGTTCGCCCTCAAAATATAAAGATAAAAATAATAATATTTTTAAATAAAGTTACATTCAGTATATTTAATTTAAAATGTTAAATTCCAAAAAAAATAATAATTAATACATTTTGATACAATAAGTGTCTTACAAAAAATTTGTCAGTTGTATAGTAGAATTTTATATCCTATTGATTTTGTTGACATCCCCCTGATGCCTTATATTCCTCCGGATAAAAGTTACTATGGCAACTCCCTTTATAGCTCAGCCACCCACTTTGCAAAACCGCCCTCTGAATCCGGGAGTAAGGTCAATGACCTTTGCGCAATGCGCAGAACGGTTTTTCCTCCCTTAGTTTTATTAGTATGCCTGGGTAGCCGGGTAGGCGTCTGCAGTAGTTCTCTGGACGCTGTACGTGTATAACCTACTTACCAATCTGTCACATCTTTTAGTAGTCATGTTGTAAGTACCTACTGTATTATACAATATTTAAAAACCTTATTCATATACATATTTTAATTAACTATATGACTAGACTCACCATTTAAGCAGTTAGGTAAATATTGTTTTGCTTAACATGGCTTTAATAAATAGATACGCCTATCTAATGTTAAAATTTATTTTGAAACAAGACGACCATACAAATCTATTTGAAACATGTTAATAATAATTTAGATTTAGTTTGGTTACACATTATATTAATTAAAATATGATCATAGGGGCAAATAGTGATGGGGCTTAGCTCCTCACTATAACTCAAGCAAATGCCAAATAAGTTATTATTAAGTAAATCAGTGGCGAATTTACGATTTTTTTTTAGGCTGGGGGAGGGGCAAAGTTTTTAATAATATTATTAGTAGTAAAAATTGAAATTAAATAAATAAGCATATACAAAATTGTAATAATTATAATATGATTCTAAACACCTAGGAATGAATTTTTGGTTTTTTTAAATGTTTCAGTAGCTGAACTGATTTTTGATTTTTTTTAAATTTTTTAATCTAATTTTTAGGTTATAGGACTGGGGGTTGGTGTCTCTTGAACCTACTCTTCAATCCTCAATTGAAGTAAATACTATGTATACATAATCAGTATTATGAGGGCTTAAGTTCCTCAAAATATTTGTGCCTATGTGTGTGTTGTATAAACATTAAAAAACTTTCCAAAATGATAACATTGTTCTAATCTGTGGATTTTGTAATTTTATTTATATAGTTTATCAACGACTTTCTTCATGTATTGCATGTTGGCAATATGTCTAAGTTCAGGTCATGTGCCTGATATAGCCAATAATGTACCTCAACGTTGCCTGAATTCTGCTTCAGTGACTAAATTTGAATTTGTCAATGATAAGGAAATAATTTCTGTCGATGTCAAACAAACAAAAATCTTCAGTTCAAGCAATAAATTCAATTGGCTTTTGCAGTGGATGTCAAAATATGGACAGAAAATGTCCACTATCCCCACGGACTATTACTGTAGTAATACTGTTGTGTTAAGCTATCAGCCTATCAGCAGAAAAACAAAATTTAAGTAATGAAAACAATGTTTAAAAATGTTTAATTAACTTTGAGTAGTTTAAACATAAACATTAACAAAACTATGGTTCATAGGCACAATGATTATAACATGTATGTGAAGATAGATCACTGCTATTCGCTGACCAACACATCCAATTCTCCAACACATACAAAATTAATTTTCAATATTGTTGGTATGAATAAGGATGTGATCAAAATGATAAAAGAAGGTAATATCATTATGAGAGTCATATTTTTTTTTATCATTTTTAGAGTGATATCTAATACTCACGATCTTTTTAGCTAAAGTTTATGCAATGAACATGAAGGGGGAGTTTCAGTCTTCACAAAATGCATTTTTCTACAAAACGTTGCAAACTCCCATAAAAACCCTGATAACTTCGCCTGTCATATTAGATAAGGATGTCTTTAAAAATATATTGCAGGGCATATATCATACTAAGAGTTATCAATCTTGGTACAATAAAAAAGGTAAATATTGCTTGCATTTTTAGCAATTTTTATTTAACTGGCCCATATACATTCAAATTGAACTAACCTGATACATATAAGCACTGGCATAATTGGTAGGTAGATAATGAATAATATTATTTATATTTTAGAAATACCATACTACAGAGGATACCTGTTGTTTGGACCACCGGGTTGTGGTAAGACACCCACAATGTCTTTGGCTGAAGTAATAAACCATAACTACTATATGTATGATCTTAATAATTTAAACATTTCTGCCAATCAAATCTTTAATTCAACCAATCTAATGCTACCTAAGTCAGTTTTACTCATAAAAAATATTGATGTAATGCCCACTGCAACAATACCCACCATCAACAAAAAAAGTAAGCATCATGACATTCTAAGTTAGTATACAAAATCTTCCTAAATTAGTTGTTTTAAAATATTAAATATAATTTTTTACAGCACTAGACAAGACTTTAGTGAAATTTAGAGATGTAGTGAATTTAATGAACAATTTAAATTCATTTGAAAATATGTTAGTGTTTATGACAGAGGATCATGTTAAAGAGTAAGTATAATCTTTAACATAATATCTACTAAACACCAATAATGTTTGGACATTGGTTATAGGTTGGATGGTGAACTGATGAGAGCAGGCGGTATTGATTTTAAACAGTATATTGGACCATGTTCAGATTATCAATTTTCGCAATTCGTCATCAAGTTTTGAAGCTACTAAGAACTACAAAAAAAAAAATGATAAAAAGATTAGTTATTTCTGTTAAATTAATATGTATTTGATATACTAACCATCATTAAGTTATAGATTATGTATTCAAACAAATAACTAATATATGTAAGAATGAAAAAAATATTTAATTAACAGAGGATAGGGAAAATATATATATTAGTAGTACTTTAGGAATTTTTATTAAATAATAATAAATATAAAGCTAATCAAAAACATTAACATAATACTTCATTCAAAAATATTATGAATTTATAAGAAAAAAAAACTACAAATATCTGATTAGTCAAATCAAAATATTTTGACACAAATAGTTTACTCCTTTTTCAATGATAATTCAAACAGAGATAATATACAAAGTATGCATCTGTACTTACATATACTTTCAAATAATATAAAGCATTTCGGTGTGGTCAAATATTTAGAAATGATAAACAGGCCAAAGTTAACTACAAAATAAATTTTAGTGGATAATTTAAAAAATAGCCAGACTTACAAATTTCAAATTTATGCTTGCAAATATGCAAATACTAAAGGGTTGCCAAATTTTGAAATCCCCAAACCCGGGACATGATATTAAATGGTTTTTTTTTAAATTTGTATATATTCTTTACTCATTAATTTATTATCTATTGATATTTTACTTTTTACTAGAATGAATTTTCTTCTATAAAGTAGTATCATTCTTAATTTGTTCATAAAATTTGATACAAATTCATTTGACAGACCATTAGGTCTTGTACTGTATTGACATTTATCCTACACAGTATTATTTATAATTTGTAAAATAATTTATAATTGTCAGCCTCTATTAACCAGGAAAAACTAAATAACCCTTAACACCCTTAAAACAGGGACTAATGGCAAGCCTAAAATATTTACAAATGACTTAAAAAATTTTGGCAAAATTTGATTCAAAAATATTGAAGTTATGCAATTTATTTCATAGATCTGTTAAATAGACTGATACATATATTAGGTTACTTATCATAGTTAAATGTATAAAAATTCAATGATCTTACTCAAGTATTTATTTAAGTAAATAAATACTTATTACAAATTCATAATTTTTAAACAGTACTAAGTTTTTCCTTACTTAAGTTTTTGCTAAGAATAATTTTTAGTAGAAATAGGTATTTCTTAAATGTATAATACCAGGAAGAATAGAAGTATATATTATTACTTTTTATAGAGATCAAAATTTGCTTTTATAATATAAAATCTTTAATGGTTATATTATTTTATTGTGTAATCCATAAATCTCAATGTAAGTAGAGTCACACTAATATAAAATAAATAATATGGAGTTGAATGTAAACGTTAAAAACAAATCAAAAACTTTTATTTCTGAAGAAATTAACTTGCTTTAAGAACTTGTTTGTAATATAACTACAATGTAACTAGTACCAGGATGTTATTTTAGAAAAAAATGTGTTATTTTTACACTGAAGGTTTTATAATACCTTCTTCAGTAGCTTCTAAACAGAAGATATGGAAAAAAATCGAAAATTAATTTAACACTCAAGCACTGTATACCAATGTACAGTTAACAATTTTTTTTTCATGGTATATTTATAGTTGAATTAGTTGGAAATTAGTTAAAACACAAACATGAGGGTGTATTATATTGGCTTATCAGTTAGGTACCTATTATCTATATTTCTATATCTACACTTTTCATTTATCAAGCTATTGGATTTGGACCGCTATAATATGATATCATTTGATGTTGGACAGGTTAAATAGATTCGCCATGTTGTCAGTATATTGAGCTATGTCTTAAACTCCTGAAGGTGTCATTGTTTAGTTGATACAAAAACCTAAGGAAATAATTAGATGTTGTTCAATATTAATAATAAATCTTTGTTAAACGAGATAACATTTTGATGTGTGTATATATATATATATATATATATATTAGGTTGGTCCTTATTTTTTCAACATTATTTTTTAAGACAGTACCCTTTTAATTTGTTAAGTTACATGAGTAAGTAATTTGGGTAAAATTTTGTAGATCTCACTCAACCCCTTTTGGAGCCACAATAGGGTGAAAATATGGCAAAAGAGTTTTCTTATTATTTTATGTAATTCAGAAACTATCACACTTAGCCTAAAAATATAAGAACCTTAATGATATATATACCAATAAAAGAGCACTTTATGTAAATTATCGTAAGTACATTATTTTTTAAGAAAAATGACGTATCAAAATATTGTAATTATTTATTGATATTTAATGCACCAGAAGCGGTTCAATGAGTCCTTGCAAATTTTACCCAAATTACTTACTCATATAACTTAACAAATTAAGAAGGTACTGTGATAACTTTTGAAAATAAAATATTCCACCTACATAAATAAGGACCTCTCTAATGTATATATATAATATACATTGATACCTCTAAATACTCTAAATACAAATTTCGTCTGTTATTTAGAGGGGAAAAAATTCTTGAAAATAACTGAAAAATTAATAACTATGTACAACATTTATATATGTAATATCTATATTAATGATATAAATATGTCATATATAATAAGATAGAAATTAACATTTATTGAAAAATTCAGTTACTTTAGCTTATTTAAGACCTCGATTTGTCATATAATTGCCATTAAAGTGTTTGGTATTTAGAGGTTTTCCTATATAAAAGTGGTGAAAATGTTCCAGTTCTCAAAAAATCGTACACTATTTGGAGGTGTCCGTTAAGGAAGGTTTCACTGTATATATAATTGTTTAATATAACTATTGAAAATATTTGTGTAAGCTACTGCTAATATGTAAATAATTAATAACACTTGCTTAAAATTGATTTACCTATAATATATTATTGACAACATTTACATATTAGCAATACTTAACAAATTAAAAATACTATTTTCTATTAATTTAATTATTCACAAAATGAGTCAAAGTAGTTCCTGTTGAGTTGTTAATTATTTTTTATTGTTCATTCTTTATTAATATTATTTTATTAGAAAATTATAAAAACTAGACTTCGATGTAGATATATTAAATACCTACATTAAATGAAAATTAATTCCTAATAACTAAGTTGTTTATTATATTTGACTAATTGTTATTTATGTTTTTTACCAAATTTATTATCAAAGTACAATTTATAATGAATCTCCTGTTAAATTTTCAAGCATTTCTATTCGATCTAACAATTTTATCTAGAAAATAGGTACCTATCAAATAAAAATTATGTGAACAACTTGCAAAATTAAAATGTCTGTAAATAGCTCAAAAATTACTAAAAATATTCGTGGAGACTTAAAATTTGGACAGAAAATTTATGTTTGCTTTTTCTAGACATTGTAAAATTTCCAAAAATGTTTATCCATCTTTGAGATTTTTATAGACATTTTAATTTTGCAAGATTTGTAAAACTTTTTCGGTGGGTACTCTGTGGATAAAAAAATTGTTAGGCCAAACAGAAATTCTTGAAAATTTAACATGCGATTCATTATAAGTCGTACTTTGTCGTGAAAAAAAAAAGTTAGAAGAAAGATAAGAAATGAGCAAGAAAACTGAGAAGCGGTTTCAGTGAGAAGGAACTCTAAAATTGATATTAGCGAGAATAGAAAGAAAATTTAAGATAAAATTGAAAAGGAAGATTAGATTAGTCAAGTAGGTTAGCTCTAAAATCAATAAGACTAGACAAAAGAAAAATAACCCTAAAACCATTGTTGATTTTCTGATTTTAGATTTTAAGCGTAGTGAGGAATGTATTGGTTTTTTTTTTATGTATCGCGTATATTATAATTTTTTTTTTTTAATATTAATGTTAATTTTATATCCATTTTAAACAATGACGATAACATCAAACTATTTTATAGACAATAAGTATTAAGGTATAAATAATTTCTAAGTCATAGCATGGAAAACAATCACTATATATGATTAATGAATAATTTATAACGAGTGCAATGACTACTCCCAAACTTCGTAGGTAGGTATTATTTTAGTTTTTGATATTAAAAAACTATATTATATACATGTCCCGAATCCCGATGTATAGTTATATTTTTTTTACTACCTACTCTCTAAACTAACAACACGTGTGGAAAAAGATAGTTTTCTATCTTTTGTTCTATTGCTACGTAGCAACTTCAGTTAATGATCTGTCTAAAAATAAAAATATGTAATCGTTTTTAAAGATATGTTCCAATGACTACCTATATACGACGCAAATAATTTTTTTTCAAGTTCAATAACTCTACTGGAGTTTCAAGGTAAATCGTTCTTTTATAGTAGTCGGCTAGTTACTTTCTCTGCAGTTGCAACACGAATCGACTGACAAGGTTCAAGGTTACCTACTGTATAACAATTCAACTTATATAATATTATTATTATATTATGTATAAGAATGAGATATGAGATAATACTACTATAAAATATTCATATCTACTCTATTTGTATTCAAACAACGGTTCACAACATTGATTATTAGTTTCTTTTACTGGTAGGAGAAAATGTATTGGGGTAAATAGTAGGTATCTACATGGTTACATAATATTATAAACCTCGTATATTATGCTGTAACATTGATGACGTATCTTAAAATATTTTTCGTTTGGTGAGTAATTTATTTGAAAAATAATTCAAAATTCTCAACACTTCTTCTACAACATTGATTTTTATTTATATTTGTTGAAAATATACTCGCATTGTTTCACGTATATACTAAAAAGGATACAAAATTTCCAACCGGTGATATTTTATTTAAAACAATTTATGGGCATTTTTAAGAGTTTGCCCACAAGTCTTTTTAAAAAAAAAATGTCTGTCAACTTAAGGGTTGCTTGGTTACTTGGCCAAAGGAATAACCACGATTTACACGATTAGTCCATTTAACATAATTCTTTTTTATTTTCAATGATTTATCTATATACAATATACAGTAAATAAATTAAATTACTTTATATACATATACCCTGGCATGCTGCTATAACTTTTCAAATTACCCACGTACATCAATGACCTACCCTGAGTGTGAAATATGTTCAGATTTTAACATTTCAACTTTATTTATTAAATTACTATATTATCCATTGAAAAACAAAAAATTACCTAAAATGGTTAAATTTATTTAATAAGTATAATATTAGGCGTGTTTTGTGGATGCAGTTT